ATCTCCCCTAAGACACCTGTTCAGGTGGTAGAAAAAGTGCAATCTGAATATGAAAACACTTTGCACAAAATCGAAGCTCAGCTAAATATTCCAATTGTATTGACTTCCACAAATTCCCTACTCTTCAAGAAATTACTTCCTTGAAAATTCCTTCGTTCTAAACAAGGATGAAGGACTTTGTGAAAGTCTACAGGTCATGCTATGCAAGTTTTTAATGATTTGCATTATTCAAATTGATGCAGGTTTATTGGCATATCATAACCAGTTGCCATGGCTAGCTTGCCACTGAATACTGTACATTATAATATAGCATTTGTAAATTCTGAACGCTGATTGGCTAAGAGTCGTGTTGATATAACTCAATGTCAACACAGGAAATTTTCCGCCGCTTGTAAACACGGAAATTTTTCTTATCCTTCGGGCTTTTGACATTGCTATATTATAAAAAAAATATAAAACATTTTTTCCGTATTGATATATAGTTATATCAACACTCGTGCAAGTTGGGAAAACTCGAAATTGTATGAAAACACTCCGTCCTTCGGGCGTCGTGTTTCCATACAATTTCTCGTTTTCCTAATTCCACTTGTGTTGATATAACTGTATATCAACACGGAAAATGTTTTATATTTGTTAAATATCATATATAACAAATGATAATAATTAATACTTAAATGAATCATTTGATATGCAGAATTTAATAACAATTTCATACATAGAAATACTACCAGTAAGTAATTTTTTGCCTCAATTATCATTTTAATGGTACTTTCAAAACTACCACTACCGCAGAACAACAGAACAATCTGCTGATGGGGAGACAAAATCTATTTTGTTGACATTTTTGTTTAATACGTCAGCTTCATATGACACCATTCATTGTCTAAATGATTAAGATTGCAATTGTTTAATATGTCAGCTTCATATGACACCATTCTTTTTATAAATGATTAAGATTGTACTCAGTCAGAACTGTAAAACTATATAATAAGAAAGAAATTGTGAGCATTATGGAAAAAAGTCAAATATTGTGTGTTACAATTTGGACATCATACTGCTCATTTGGCCTTATGCATAATGATGTCACAAGGCTTGATGCCTGCGAGGAATGCTGGTCTTAAGCTATGGGCAAACTAGGAAACGTTGCAGAAACATTTGTGATTCTCGATGTTTCCTCAGACATTTCCCTGTTCACCCACCCTGTTCGTCCGCAACAACGTTTCCTAGTTTGCCCAGGACTTTAGTAGTAATCGCCCAGGAAAATTAAACAATCCAAAATGGCCACTATCGAAATTTTCTTGGCCATCGAGCCTTAAGACGTCATTATGCATAAGGTCTATTGATTTGATATACAGAGACATTACAGTAAAGTGCCATTAGCCTTGCACTCACATAAAAGAACCAGTAGGTTAAGAACCACTAGCCTGAAATTTGGGCAATTGAGTACCCAAAATACAATGTGTTGAATATAAAAAAGTATAGTGTGAAGTAAGACAATATACGAACCACTTCAGCCTGAAGTCAAAATTCACTGGTTCTTTTATACACGGCTTAATTACTGCATATCATATTCCCATAATTAAATAATAACAATATCAATAATCATTTTACTGTAATATAATAAATATATATATATAACTATTTTTATTGACAATTTTCTAATTTACATACAACCTACACATTTGTAAAATTTGATATACAATACCTTGTTGGCTTGATCTTTTGACAGAATCAGTATACAAGTGATACAACTTTATTATTGCCAACCGTCGACGATTGCCCAGCTAGTAGCAAGATCACAACCTCGCTAGTATAAAGTATAAAATATAGCTACTTCACACATAGCTAGCAAGTTTGGTACAGTTACACAGAGTTCACAATTCACTGCTTTTTTGAAAAACATAATATGAACGGCTCCTTTAATTTTGACTTGATTTGACCAAATGATCGCCACGAACACACAACAAAATATACACCTAGAGGACATAGAATTCGAATTTTTATAATGTATTTTTAATATAAAAACAGACTATCACGTTCATTTACATATATAAATGAAAGTATTCAAACGTTCAAATAACTATTTTTATCAACATACCTTCAAAAATATAATTCTTTTGATAGTTTTCCTCCAAAATCAAATAGTAATATTGTGAAATAAGCCTCGTGCAATGGAAAATATGCGACATTGCCATATCGTCATGTCAAAATTAAATGTCATAGCTCCTATGTAGCTACGGCGCACCGAACGCAGCTTTCGGAAGTGATCGGATTATCATCGTAAACTTCCTGCGTATATAAATTTGTACACAACGTCATTCGAATTCTGTGACGTCAGAAAATGCGACCCGAATGATCGAACGAACGAACGACAAACAAATCTCAAATGCTTTGGCTAAAATACATAAGTCGCGCGGGGTCTGGCACGAGTAAAAACTGTAAACGTTGTCAAGAATAGGTGGCTGCCATCGCTTCGCTCGGCAGCAATAATATTTTAATAATACTAAAATATATTATAATATTTTATTAATATTATAATATTATCATGTGATCATATACGCAAATTAAATGACCCAAATGTAATGAGGTGTTACATAAGATAATCTACAACAAAGAGGAACTTTAAAAGGGTATGAGCAACAAAAAATTTTATTGCTTCATCTGAAAGAGCATAAAAAAAATAAGCCGATTGGCCGGTTAATGCTCTATTCTATCTCATCTGGTTCCGAAGTTATACGCGAAAATGTGAAAATATAAATTGCAGATTCAGCACAACTTGTGACGTCATTAGCTGGGTAAGTATGTTTGTTGAATAGTAAACTGAAGCATAGCTCAGTTATTATCGACTCAAATCAAATGAAATTTTGCTTACAGATAGTACATGATGAGACGCATGGGAAAATACTTCTAATTTTGTTGTTAAGGCAACACAGTCGTTCCCAGGCCCCATACACTGATTTTGAATAACTAGTTGCATTTATCTATGTGTATGTCATTTTCGAATTATTATCATGTAAGTAAACTTTTGGCATGCATAGGTATGGTACACATACTTCTGATATTATTTTATTCTTATAAGTACCATGAATAAAGCTGTTTTATAAAATTAGGCCTGGGAACGACATTGTTACCTTGGCAACAAAATTAGAAGTGTTTTTCAACGCGTCTCATCATGTACAATCAGTATCCAAAATTTCATTTGATTTGGGCCAATAATAACTGAGTTATGCTTCAGTTTACTATTCAATAAACATACTTACCCAGTAATGACGTCAGAAGTTGTGCTGAATCAGCAATTTATATTTTGCACATTTTTGCGTATAACTTCGGAACCAGATGAGATAGGATAGAGCATTAAACGGCCAATCGGCTTATTTTTTCATGCTCTTTCAGGTGAAGCAATAAATTTTTTTGTTGCTCATACCCTTTAAGATAGCCCACAGCTAGCCAGATAGAAATGATAAGACAGCCACATGATAAGTACTTACTTAAGGAAATTCCGCAGTAATTGTTCCCAAAATGAGAATTTGCTGAAACTTCCCAGGGATGGAGTTTATGATATACTTAAAGTAAAATCGCACAAAAAAGTCGGGGTCACCGAACTCGTTGAGAAGATATGACAATCACAATATACCACCTTTACCCCAATATGGCGCTCATTACGAGTCAGCAAAATCACAACAGCCCGATATTTATTGACGGTTTTAGCGAGGATTTTGCTTTAGTAAACCTATCTTGTAATCATTTGTGAAAAACTATTGTGTTTTGGGCAAAATTAAACTACTAACGTGTACAATTCTGATCCATAAATGTCTTTTCCACATTTCTTTACATATTTTTCCTTGAGAACATGCATTGATCTTTTCAAGATCCAAAAACGATTTTTCTTTCAATTTCGGATATGAAGTGTAAAATGCATTAAAGAAATAAGTTATCAGTTAAAAAACGGGGGTCACCGATCTTTTTCGGGAATTGTGGCATTAAAACATGAAAAACAAGTAAATAAATATCCTGCATACACAAACACCGCGGAAAAACGTCTGCGCATGCGTCAACCTTACCTGTAATAGTATTGCGAACTTAATGAGAAGCTGTTCCGAACGTTTCTGAAGGCTCAAAATGGCGGTAAAAAGGAGTGACTTCATTGTGTGTCTTTACAGCCAGATTTCGAGCGCAAAAATAAACATGTCATTCTAAAAACTAGGAATAAATACAGCCAGAAGGTTCAAGAAATTGTATTGTACAAGAACATGAACTAAAGGTGATTGTTGACAAACTTATCGTCTGAAACATTTTGTTTATCAACTAAGGAACGACAATTTCCGAATTTTCGTCGGAGATACATTTCTTTAAAAAAAACTGTGTCGCCAAATATAAAAAATTTTCGTGTTCACAATAATTAAACTTTAGGATTTATTCTACAATTTGAGTGGGTTAAGAAGCTTAACTTTTCGAGAGTTTTCTTAACTTTTCAGTTTGAATTTTTGTTTTGAATAATTTTGCAAAAATTTTCGAAGTCGTGTTCGTTAAAATCAACAATTTTTTACATGAATTATATTTTATTCCATACTTTAAATGCCAGGACGCTTTCAATTAATGTCTAGTCTACCCATTTGCTATATTTTCTCGTTTGTTTTACTAATTTTTGACCAATTAATAAGCATGTTTTTGTTTTAGAAATTGATATTCAAATTCCCCGCCATGTTTTCATAATTTGGTGCATGCGCAGACGTTTTTCCGCGGTGTTGCATACACATGGTTATAAGTTATACGATGTGCGCAGTAAAAGTGCGCAATGGAAAACTGCGGAATTACCTTAATAACTTCTTTACAGCGGAAAGTCTGTTTTGCACTCCGCCAGGAGCGAGGAGAATAAACTGACAAAGAGGTTGAAGAAGACGTGCATTATCTAAAAATGGAATTCACATTTTCATAAAGAAACAAAGCGAAAGAGAAATGGCACAACCTATTATAACAAATACTTTAGACTGAGTAAAGCAGGTTTTGCCTTCGGAAAATTATGCTCAAAAGCGAGCAGACTTGGAAGTGCCAGATTAACCATATGGCACAAGTGTCATATGGCACGGGCCCCCCGCTTTTGGGGGCACCACGCTTACTCTCTATATGCAGACCGTTTCTGAACATGAAAATCACAGGTTTTTCCTAGTGTATTATCTCAATTATCGAAAATAATTTTATGAAACTCGACATAATGCTGGTACGAGTCTTAGGCGCGCTTCTATTCCGTTTCAGGCCCTGTAGAGAAGCAAGAATTTGCGTTAATTTAAACCATGCAGTGTCGGCTCAACCATATGGCAGAAGTGCCACGGGCCCCGCGCTTTTGGGGGCACCGCGGTTACTCTTTTCGATTAAAGTGAGCATGGTTATGATTGAGCCATGATTATGTGATAAATTTTCTGAATTAGGTTGAATGGTTATGCTTGTACGTAGTGACCGGTTAATCTTATATTCAGGGACGCCGGAAGATCGATAATTGGGGGGGGGGGCATATATTCATGTTCTGCCCAATTAATTTCTTTTGAAATCGATTGTTTTTACAGTCTGTGAACACGAATATATGAATTTCTACCCCCCCCAATTATCGATCTTCCGGCGTCCCTGCTTAACCCACCGGGCACACGACGTTGTTTCAACGTTGAAATGTGGTAGAAAAAAGGTTGCGACGTCGACAACCTAATATCTACGTCGCTCTGACGTTGTTTTACAAACCGATTGGTTCAACAGCAGCCAACAGACGTTGAATTAACGTTCATTCATGGTTAAATGTACGACGTCGATTTGTGAACCAATCTCAACGTTGTTTTAACGTGGATTCAACGTTGAATTATGGGTGACGAGATTGGCAACCTAATTTCAACGTTGTTTCAACGTCGAAACAGTAACGTCGATCCAATTTGCATAGTCAACCCTTTTTCAACGTCTATCCAACGTCTGAAAGGTCATTTCCAACGTTGATTCAACGTTGGATAAACGTCATTTTGCCCGCTGGGTTATATTAACTAAGAAACTAGACATACCGTCTTGTTCAGTTGTCGAAGACATATATTCAAATTATACAAACTTTACCTAAATAAGTATACATATGCTAATTATAATATTTAATCATGCGTTCATTTACTACAATGCTGATGATATTCATTAGTCATAACCATCCAATGGTTATGCCGAAGACATTCAACGGCATAACCATCTACAGTAAGTTGAATGGTTTAATATGCCAAAGACAGTCAACGACATAACCATGCATCCACGTTGAATGGTTATGCCCAAGACAGTCAACAGCATAACCATCCAAGTTGAATGCTTATTCCAAAGACAGTCAACGGCATAACCATCCAAGTCGAATGGTTATGCCATTAAGACAGTCAACGGGACAACGGCATAACCATCTACGTCGAGGAGGCAGGGGTAATTATTACACTAAACAGAGAGGTTATTCAAGAGGACAGGACGTATTACATGACTAAGCTAGCCGAAACGCAATATAAATGCTGCAAGGAAAAATTCTAACCAATAGAAAGAATGTTACCTGTACTGTGGGCATGACCTCAGAAATGCAATTATAAGTGCATCCATTTTAATAGTACGATAGTGTATAAATGTATTAGACTACAGAATGATGTAACAATCTTTCAAATTGATCGGGTATTATATAGGCTAGCTACTGTATTATTTAGAGAAATACCAATGAGCCTGCCACACAGGCTAGTTAGAATGATAATACGAGTAAACAGGATATAAAAGAGAGTCTGATAAAAATTCCTTGAAAACAACCAAAGAAGCAAGGGAAAATTTGGTAAAATAGAAACCAGCTCCGCCAACGTTTCTACCAAGACAGAAATTTGGGTTTATTGTTGAAGGTTGTAGTCCAGTTACAGGGCTGCCTTTGGGATCAGAGGATTTGGGGAAGCCGTCTAAAGCAATGAAGAGGCCAGAGGTAGGTTTCCAGTTCACGATAATGTACAGCCATTTGTCGTAGATTAAGTTGATTTCTGCCTGTGGATTTAGAGATATGTAAAGTCAGTAATAATGGAGAGAGGACCTTTCCTCCTGCAGTAACACTGGATCAAGGAAGGAAAACAGTTTAAACCTTAGAGAGCAACCCAGTATAAAAAAGTTAGTTCAGTTCAGGTTTAATTCCTATCAATAAGAGATGATCCTTACTGGACCACTAGGAAAAACAGTTTAGAACTCAGTCTGATAGAGCTGTCCAGTATAAATAAAGTTAGTTTAGCTTAGGTTTCTCCTGTAGTAACACTGGATCAATCAATAAGAGATGATTCTTACTGGACCTCTAGGAAGAACAGTTTGTAACTGATAGAGCTCTCCAGCATCAATAAAATTAGTTTAGTTTACGTTTCTTCCTGTAGTAACACTGGATCAATAAGAGATGATCCTTACTGGACCTCTAAGAAGCACAGTTTAGAACTGATAGAGCTATGCAGTATAAATAAAGTTAGTTTAGTTTAAGTTTCCTTGTGTTATAACACTGGATCAATAAGAGATACTCTTTACTGGACCTCTAGGAAAAGCAGTTTAAAACTGATAAAGCTATCTAGCATAAAAAAGGTAGGTTTACTTTAGATTTCCTCCTGTAGTAACACTGGATCAATAAGAGATGATCCTTACTGGACCTCCAGGAAGAATAGTTTTAGAACCGATAGAGCTATCTAGTATAAATAAAGTTAGTTTAGGTTTCCTCCTGAAGTATGAAGTACTCAATAAGAGATGATTCATACTGGAGCTCTAGGAAGAACAGTTTAGAACTGATAGAACTATCTAGTATAAATAAAGTTAGTTTAATTTAGGTTTCCTCCTGTTGTAATCTGTTGTAATTTAGATACTGGAAGAATATCCTCTACAGAGAACAGTTTACTGCATGTAGAACTAATTAAAACAGCTATCCAATCAACATAATGTTAGCTAGTTTAGTTATAGTGAAGATGATCCTGTACCTTCCACTTCATGCTAGACGTGGCAATCTCTGCAATCATTCCAATCAACTTTCCATTGAGAACATAAAGTGAAACTCCTGTTTTTCCACCGCTTGTTAATGCTTCAGTATCTAGAACATATCTTGGTGTGTCATATTCCTTTGCAGTTTCATCAAATCTCAGCTTAATCCCAAAAGCCAATCCTTCTTTTGCCATATCTGGGTCTGACAAGATGTTGGTAGGAACAAGGCGAGTGCTGAGGAAGGCTGTTATACCATCAAAGTATAGACCTCCATCAACTACCTCAACATGGCCGTTGACAATGAAGGGAGGATGACCCGGGATCTTGCCGTTGACGATTGTTAGGAAAGACCAGAAGTAAGGGCTCCATCTGAGGTTGACCTCAAGTAAAACACAGAGTTCAGACATGTGAGGAAGAAATGTTTAGTTGCACATCCAGTTTTTGAAGGGCCACAATTTGTGTTCATAAAAAACCACAGAAATAACCAGGGATGCCAGAGTGAGGGTAGCTAGGGCACACTCACTGGGGGGCAATGTGGACTTAAAGGGCAATCACATTAATATTTCCTATCCAAAAAATTTTTCCCGAACCATAATTCACCAAACTGACAAAGGCAAAAAAATTTGAAACTTGACATAATTTTTGACACAATATTCCAGAAAATTTCACATATATTTCAATATTACATCCATTTCACCTGCAATTCATACTTTTTAATCGTTGTACCTCATATTTTTTGGGGTAGAATTTTTATCCTTAGGCACTTTTGTCCCCCCCCCCGGGCCCCTTACTAAAGGGCAAGGGGGGCAATGCCCCTCCTGTGCCTCCCCTTTCCGCCGTGCCTGGAAATAACCCCCGAGGAGTTATGCACCTATCAATGTTTTCCCCCTGAGGGGGGGGGGGGTGCGGGCAACCCAGGGGAATTTTGACATTTTTTAAATTTTGTAGTCAAAATCCTCACTGTTTTATACTGTTTTATACAAAATTCCCCACTCTAGGCCTAAGGTAAGTAGATAACACATATGTTTCCCAACGCGAACATACAGTCTGTACCGGTTTAAACTTGACAAAAATTGAGACACTGTGTATAAAATACCTTTTTCGATGAAACTTGATCTTGCTTCTCTGACCCATTCTCCGCCATACTTGTTACCAGGCCTTTTAATGTCAAACCGCGCAAACGTTCAGACTCTAGGAGTTGATGCATGGTCAAATAGTATAGTCAGGGTCCGCTGGGTTGCCCGCACCCCCCTCCCTGAGGAGGAAAACATTGATAGGTGCATTACGGGATGATCCAGCCCGATTTTCGGTTCTGAAAGGTCCGATTCGCAGCCAAACAGCGCGCGCAAAGCAGGCTGGTCATTTCCCATTGTTTAACTACCCCATGTTTCTGTGAGTCAAAAAGAAGCCAAAAAGGCCAATCCAGTAGAATCTGCCAACCCTGCTCTAGGCTAACCGTGCTCGAATTTTGGAAGTCACAAGTTTTATTAACGCATTCCTATTGGTCAGATTTTAATGCACTCTGATTCGGCAATCGCATTTTATGCAAATAGCAGGCACTATTAATTATTAAAATAAAATAGCCAAAAATTTAAGATTAGCCATACCTTTTGGCCATTTTAATTACTTTTTCACATTTTCAAAACGAGCCTGAACTTTTGAAGTTTTCAAAAAGGTGAAAAAATGGCGAGAAAGTAAAGGAGTTAATAGCTTTAACTTTTTTCAAAAAACGTTCACCTTTACTTGTTGTTGTTCACCATTTTTGACGCCTTCTTCTTACACCGAAACTGTCAACAGCAAATTTGACGAAAACGTAATGGCCACCGCGTAAACAGTTCGAGGGACGTATTTCAGCATAAAAATGTTTACAGCTAAACTTTAGTCATGTATAAATTCAAATTGAATTTTCACTCTTTTTAAAATGTTCACGCATTGTGTATGTACAAATGTTAAAAACATTATTAATATATTAAATATTATAGAACTCTCTTTTAAGACAACTTGTCAACACCAGGGAAGTTTTTTTTATAAAAGGCGACCACCACCTTCCATTCCTGACGGTAAATCCTATATCAAGTCTCCGGGGGGAATAGTTGTTCGCACGCTTGAGGGAGACGGCTTTCTTGGAGAGTGGACCAATAGCGAATGGCATATTGGCCAGGGATGGGTGCGGGCTTGTCGATTTCTCCCTCTAAAATAAGCGTGGATGTTATTAGCCAAAGGCTTCCCCATAAAGAATATGAGCTTATATTATTGCCTGAAGGAGAGAGGGTCTTAATAGAGAATTTACCGTATACAGGAGCAAAATATCCGAGCAGCAGTGAGCCCAATTCGGTCAGTTTTGATGTTCTGGCTGTTGTTGTACGGCCGAAGCTGAGCCAATGGTGACCAGATCGAACGCGGCAAAAGCTCAGCGTGTTGGCGGGACGAAATTTTCCGTGTGTGTAACTGCCTTTTATGGAATCTGGCCTGGACCCCATTCCAACATTCTCTGCTCACAAAGCAGATTGTCAATCATTGATGCAGTCATTGATCCAATAGCTCTTTGAGCTTTTGTCGTAATCTGTGCGACTTTGCTTGAGCCTGCTCAAACAGAGATTGTCCCATTAAAGAATAAAGTAGGTTAGCCAAACCGTGAACGGCTTCCTTCATATTTCCACTGCCAGTCGATGCACTGCTCGAAGACTCGAGAAGTTTCCACATCACTGGCAGAGCGTATTTTGACACAATGGATGGTTTCCGCGGATAAACATCTTTGATAATAGCTGAAATAGAGGAAAATAAATTTGGGAGGTGTTTGAGGTATAAGGAGGTATACAAAAGATTCATTGTTTCTGATTGGGTAACAGCCAACTGTGAAATCGCCATATCAACTCAATAGTTTGACTAAATCATAAGTTAAATCATAAATTTAATCATATGTTACTATATATTCTTACTTTATATAGTATCTTACAGTTGTAAAACCAGTGTAATTCAGTTTTAACTGCAAAATTGGTTGTCAATAAAACGATTATTATTACAATTATTATCAAATAAGAAGTTCTGAGATAATATTTAACGGAGTCACGTCATAATGCTGATATGATTTTTCACAATATTTTTATTGAATGAGGTTGAGTATGATATCGAGAATTATCCAGGCCGAGGTTTGAGTTTTCCGCCGAAGCCTGAGGTAGATAACACAAACCTTGATAATTCTCGATATCATACGAAAACCGAATTCAATAATTGTTTTATTATATATTCAAAAGTTAGAGAGAAAGCAAAGACATTTTGTTTACGCTTTTAAAAATATGGAATTTTCGCGCGGTTTTTAGCAAACAATGGAGCGCGCCGGGGCTTGGTAACCACAACGTGCAATAATACTTTTTTATATCCCATAAAGCACCCCTGCTCGTGTTTTAAATAGTAGGTAATATTATAATATTATAAACATATTATAATATCACATTAATATTATAATCAAAAAATATTTCTTGTTGTTTATAAATTACATAAAACTAAAGCTCTAGATTCATTTTTGATTGATATTACAAATTAGATTTAATTTTCATCCAAAACAACTGATGGTTCAACAATAGGTTATTTCGAGATTACGCTTTATAGTTGTAAAAAACAATAAGATCAAGTCGAGGGTTCGTGTCAAATACAGAAACATAACAACTTTGCATGACGCCTCATTCTCATGCTATTGTCTGCGCGGCATTTCACCGTAATTCCGAAATGATTGATGGTGATATTTAAATTATTAAAAGACATCGTTTTTCTGAAGTGATATTTTGAATCTTACTGGCAGCCGGATTTGTCCACTTTTCTCAATTGAAAAGCAGTCTTCAAGATTCAAAATATTTCTCTCGTTTGCTCAGAGTTGAATAAAACAGGAGAATTTCCAGTAATAGTTTTATTTCAGAGTTAAGAGATAAAACTTTATTAATTTTTTTATTTGTCATAACTTATAGTCATGACTACCTAATACTATAATAAAAGAATCTAGGTCAATCAATCAATTTTTTCAAACGAAACCACAGCCGGATGTTACAAAGAAAATTTTAAACTCTTAAAATTTGCAATGTGATGTTAAGAAAGGCTGTGGAGAATGGATTTTGCTATAATTTTGTACATTCTCTGTATATATTCAACTAACATAAACATCACTATATAGTTATTGAGATGTGATTCACGATGAAGCAGGATGATTTTAATGTATCGACATAAGTCACAACGTATATAAAGTTGAAATCAAACGACAATATTAGGAGCTGGAATGCAATTGATCAAACCTGTAGATTAACGAAATTATTATGATTGTAAATTGCTAGTTGTTCGGCATTGTAAATTGCTAGTTGTTCGGTTGATGTAATTTCTCCGAATCATGAATCTGGAATATTTTAAGACATTAAAATCATCCCATATCTCAATCCAGCAAAGCTGAACCATGTCAGACGACAATATTAGAAGCTGGAATGCAATTGATCAAACCTGTAGTTTAACGAAATTATTATTACTGTAAATTGCTAGTTGTTCAGCATCAATTACATGGCAAACTATCTTGGAAAATTAATGCAATTTCTCCAAATCATAAACCGTGGAATATTTCAATACATCAAAATCATACCATATCTCAACCCAGCAAAGCTGATCGAACCATGTAATCGTGCCCGAAAACGTAACCCAATTATGAATTAACGTCTTACGATTGTCTCAATGTCCAATTTACACATATTTTCGTGTGGAAGGTAAAACTTCAGCAACTGCTCTGGATCTTGGTTTGTTCATGACAGGAAGATACTCCCATGTAGAACCTCCCATTGTAAAACACTCCACTGAACTGAGAGATTCATCTTTCTCATTCTCCCCTCCCATCACTACAATGGTATTTCCAGTAATAACTGCACAACATGCACATCTCTTCTCCGACATGGATGGCAAGGCTGTGGTCTTGCCTGTCTTGGAGTCGTACATGAAAACATCATTCAAAACTTTGTCGTCCTTATTACGACCTCCAAGCAACACTACTTTATCCCTCCAGCGAACTGTCGCCATTCTCCTGAAGGCAGACGGCAATTTTGGCATCTCTTTACATTCATTCCTTTTTGGATCAAACTCCAATACACTGTCTGTAGTCTTAATACCAGGGCAATATCCTCCTAAAATCAGCACTTTATCTTCAAATACCTCAGCGCCATGATATGCTCGTGGTTCACGCATTTGACACAACTCTTTCGTAATGCAAGGTGAAATAAGTTGCAATTCACTAATCACGTTAGACCATCCTTTGCCATATTTGTATCCACCAATGTAAATAGCAATCTGCTGGTAAACAACAGTTTGATGACCAACACATTCATAAGGCAGTTCCCCAAGAAATTTCGTCCATTTGAAAGGTAATTCATCGAGATTCAAGGTCTCTATTGCCTTACTATTTACTCCCCCGAGAACAAAGAACTGGTCTTTATAGATAAATGAGGAAGAACCTCCATGGTCGTCATTCATTGGCGACACCTCAAACCAACCATTTTTCTCCCAGGAATAAATTTCCGTACTTTGGCCAGATTCACTCCAAGGTCCTCCATATCCACCTGCAATCAAAATATCCTCTCTTGGTGTGTTCAACATTCCCTCAGTCGGAGATGGCAGTTTGTTCAGCAGTTCAAGCATATTTAACTTCTCTAACATTTGAATCATCATGACTTTGACTTCGTCCATGTCTTTGTTCACTTTGGAAAGATTGTCCTTCATATCTTTGACTTCTTTCTTAACTTCCCCGATTTCCTTCTTCGTTTGTCCACTTGATGCTTCCACTTTTTCGTTCATTTCCTTCACTGCTGCTTCCACTTTTCCATTCATTTCCTTCACTGCTTCAACTTTTTTGTTGATTTCCTTATTAATTTCTTTCACTGCTTCCACTTTCCTATCCAGTTCCATTAAACTTCCTTTCAATGTTCCGACATCTTCCTGTATCTGTCCACAGTCATGACATTTCACTTTTCTATAATCACAAACTTCAGTCTCATGATGGACCTTATCTTGTTTGTTAATCTCCATACCACACTCTGCATTTGAACACAACACAGGTGCATAGCCACAATTCGCCACGTGAGTTTTGAGATCTTCAAGACAGGTAAACTGAGGACATCCCCGACTGGCATGATCACAATTTATCTTTAGTTTAGACAACATGTTATTCAACACACGCGGCCGACGAAGCGTATCGACGCTCAAATGCTCATTACATTCAGGACAAGTTTGAGAGTTCACCTTTAGATGTTGAGTGATGCAGGCAAGACAAAAGATGTGATCATTATTCCTACACGTCCTTGGTTCTTTAAGAACATTGTAGCAGATAGAACAATGAAAATTTTCGTCGACATCTTTCTCAAATCGACAGTCTTCGTAGGCATATTTCTCTTCGGTCGGGCAGCAAGCCATGGTTCATAGCTCATAGAAACATTGCGTCACTTTCTAGTTAAAGATTCGATACCAATGATCTTTCTTTGTCATATTTATCTCACATTGTAAAGCAAATAAATCGAGAGCAAGAAACAGACGAGGTTTTGAAACACTTCCGCCTTCGCTTTGGTTTGATTTTGCAATAACAACACCTTGATTATTCACAATACTTGGAAATATGAATATGATAATGAAAGGTCGTGACATCAATTTCCGGCTGACTGAAAAAATGCAGTCGAACTGAAATCCATAATTTAATGATAGCTAAAATCTAGTTGAAACTCCTATTGAACAATTTAGTAAAACCGTACAAATTCTACCAAAGATAGATGCAATTACATGCTATCAATTTTGAATTACTTAAAACAAACTACAACCAGTTCAAGTTGGTATAAAGTTACAAGTGATGATGCAGATGGTGTCGTACAAATGTCGAAATGCGGACCTTACAAATGAATCTTGTTTCATGTGTCTCGTGTAAACCGGCAAATATTTTAATAATATTATAATATTGGACAGCTTCTTGGTCTAAATTGCTCAAATCAAACTTTGATTGACAAATTTTCTTTAATTGTGGTAAAGATATTATAATATTATATAATATTTTAATAATATTAAAATATAATATTATATTTTATTAAAATATTATAATATTATGATGTGATCATATGCACTAATTAAATGACCAAAATGTAATGAGGTGTTATATAAGAAAATCTATACTAACACAGAGCAACTTATGATAAGACAGCCATATGATAAGTACTTACTTAATAAGTTCTTTACAGCGGAAGGTCTGTTTTGCACTCCGCCAGGAGCGAGGAGAATAAACTGACAAAGAGGTTGAAGAAGACGTGTATGATCTAGAAATGGAATTCACATTTTCATAAACAAAACAAAGCGAAAGAGAAATGGCACAACACTATTATAACAAATACTTTAGACTGACTAAAAACAAGCTTTGCCTTTGGAAAATTATGCTCAAATGCAAAGCGCGCAGTGCCGGATTAACCATATGGCAGAAGTGGCATGTGCCACGCGCCCCGCACTTTTGGGGGCGCCGCTGTTACTCTTTTCGGTTAAAGTGAACCATGGTTATGATAGACTTGAACCATGACCAGGCATAACCATCCAATGGTTATGCCGAAGACATTCAACGGCATAACCATCTACAGTAAGTTGAATGGTTATGCCAAAGACAGTCAACGACATAACCATCCAAGTTGAATGGTTATGCCGAAGACATTCAACGACATAACCATCCACGTTGAGGAGGCAGGGGTGATTATTACACTAGACAGAGGTTATTCAAGAGCGACGGGACGTATTACATGACTAAGCTAGTCGAAACTCAATTTAAATGCTGCGAGGAAAAATTCTAACAATAGAAAGAATATGCTTGTGTGATGTTACAAATATTGAAACACTGTGTATTAAAAATACCTTTTTCGATGAAACTTGATCTTGCTTCTCCAATCTGGTTAGCACTTTTTTTCCATCCAGCAAACCGCCCTATCGATTTTTTAAAGTCGTTTCCTTTTGGATTTTTTTATTAATTTCGTTAAGGTTAGAGTTAGGGTTGCGGTTAGGGGTTAGAGTAGGGATTGGGTTAGTTACATAGCCATTTAACATCTCTTCCATCTTCCAAAAATGACGTCAGGTCAATTTGCTGGATGGAAAATAGTGGTAACCCTCCACTCTCCACCATACTTGAAACCAGGCCTATTAATGTCAAACCGCGCAAACTTTCGCACTCTGGGAGTTGATGAATGATCAATTTCCCCTCATTGGGGCTTCATAGTATAGTCAAAGTCCCCTGGGTTTCCCGCCCCCCCCCCAAGGGGGAAAACATTGATAGATGCATTACGGGCCTTACGGGGTGCTCCAGCCCGATTTCCGGTTCTGAAAGGCCCGATTCGCAGGCAAACAGTGCGCGCAAAGCAGGCTGGTCATTTCCGATTGTAAATTTAACTGCCCCATGTTTCCGTGAGTCAAAAAGAAGCCAAAAAGACCAATCTAGTAGAATCTGCCAACCCTGCTCTAGGCTAACCATGCTCGAATTTTGGAAGTCACAAGTTTTATTAACGCATTGCTATTGGTCAGATTTTAATGCACTCTGATTCGGCAATTGCATTTTATGCAAATAGCAGGCACTATTAATTATTAAAATAAAATAGCAAAAAATTAAAAATTAGCATTACCTTTTGGCCATTTTAACCACTTTTTCACATTTTCAAAACGAGGCTGAAATTCGACAAAAAGTTAAGGGTAACCCCTGAACGTTTCGCCCATTTCGGCCACTTTTGAAGTTCTCAAAAAGGTGAAAAATGGCGAAAAAGTAAAGGAGTTAATGGCTTTAACTTTTTTCAAAAAACATTCACCTTTACTTGTTGTTGGGAAAAGCTAATGAGTTTTTCACATTTTTGACGCCATTTTCAAACACCAAAATTGTCAATGGCAAATCTGACGAAAAAGTAATGGCCACCACGTCAACACTTCGAGGGACGTCTTGAATTCGTGGTCAACTACTAAAGTACATTTACAGGTATAATTATTTCAGCATAAAAATGTTTACAGCTAAACTATAGCCATGTATAAATTCAAATTGAATTTTCACTCTTTTTAAAATGTTCACGCATTGTGTATGTACAAATGTTAAAAACATTATTAATATATTAAATATTATAGAACTCTCTTTTAAGACAACTTGTCAACACCAGGGAAGTTTTTTTTATATAAAAGGCGACCACCACCTTCCATTCCTGACGGTAAATCCTATATCAAGTCTCCGGGGGGATTAGTTGTTTCAAGCACGCTTGAGGGAGAAGGCTTTCTTGGAGAGTGGACCAATAGCGAATTGCATATTGGCCAGGGATGGGCGCGGGCTTATAGATTTCTCCCTCTAAAATAAGCGTGGAAGTTATTAGCCAAAGGCTTCCCCTAAAGAATAGGAGCTTATATTATTGCCTGAAGGAGAGAGGGTTTTAATAGAGAATTTACCGTATGCAGGAGCAAAATATCCGAGCAGCAGTGAGCCCAATTCGGCCAGTTTTGATGTTCTGACTGCTGTTGTACGGCCAATGCTGAGCCACTGGTGACCAGATCGAACGCGGCAAAAGCTCAGCGTGTTGGCGGGAAGGAATTTTGTTTTTATAACTGCCTTTTATGGAAGCTGGCCTGGACGCCATTCCAACATTCTCTGCTCACAAAGCAGATTGTCAATCATTGATCCAGTCATTGATCCAATAGCTCTTTGAGCTTTTGTCGTAATCTGTGCGACTTTGCTTGAGCCTGCTCAAACAGAGATTGTCCCATTAAAGAATAAAGTAGGTTAGCCAAACCGTGAACGGCTTCCTTCATATTTCCACTGCCAGTCGATGCACTGCTCGAAGACTCGAGAAGTTTCCACATCACTGGTAGAGCGTATTTTGACACAATGGATGGTTTGCGCGGATAAACATCTTTGATAATAGCTGAAATAAAGGAAAATATATTTGGGAGGTGTTTGAGGTTAAAGGAGGTATTCAAAAGATTCGTTGTTTGACTTGTTTCTGATTGGCTAACAGCCAACTGTGAAATCGACATATCAACTCAATAGTTCGAGTAAATAAGGAGCTCTGAGATAATATTTAACGGGGTAACGTCATAATGCTGATACGATTTTTCATAATATTTTTATTGAATGAGGTTGAGTATGATATCCACAATTGTCAAGGCCGAGGTTTGAGTTTTCCGCCAAAGCCGAAGGCTGAGGTGGATAACACAAACCTAGGCCTTGATAATTCTCGATATTTCACACGAAAACCGAATTCAATAATTGTTTTATTATATATTCAAAAGTTAGAGAGAAAGCAAAGCCATTTTGTTTACGCTTTTTTTATATGGATTCTCGCGCGCTTTTTAGCAAACAATGAACCGCGCCGGGGCTTGGTAACCACAGCGTGCAATAATACTTTTTATATCCGATAAAGCACTCCTGCTCGTTTATTAAACAGTACTTAATAAAAATATAATATAAAAATATTATATTAATATTATGAACAAAAAACATTTCTCGTTGTTTATAAATCACATGAAATTAAAGCTCCAGATACATTTTCGATTGATATTACAGACTAGATTTGATTTTCATTCAAAACAAACTGATTGTTCAACAATAGGCTATTTGGAGATTACGCTCTGGTTGTGAAAAACAATAAGATCAAGTCGAGGGTTCGTGCCAAATACAGAAACATAACAACTTTGCACGACGCATCGTTCTCATGCTATTGTCTGCGCGCATTTCACCGTAATTCCGAAATGATTGATGGTGAAACTTAAATTATTAAAAGACATGGTTTTTCTGGAGGGATATTTTGAATCTTACTGGTAGGGGGATTTGTGCACTTTTTTCAATTGAAAAACAGTCTTCAAGATTCAAAATATTTCTCTCGTTTGCTCAGAGTTGAATAAAGCAGGAGAATTTTCAGTATACTTTTATTTCAAAGTTAAGAGATAAAATTTTAATATTTATTTATTTATTACAACTTAAAGTCATGACTACTTTATACTATAATTATAAAATCTAGGACAATCAATCAATTTTTTTAAACGAAACCACAGCCGAATGTTATAAAGTCAATTTTAGGCTCTCAAAATTTATATAACTAACATCTCAACTAACATAAAATCACTATATAGTTATTGAGATGTGATTCAGGATGAAGCAGGATGATTTTAATGTATCGACATAAGTCACAACGTATATAAAGTTGAATCAAACGACAATATTAGGAGCTGGAATGCAATTGATCAAACCTGTAGTTTAACGAAATTATTTTCATATTATTCTAATAGAAATAGAATTAACGAAATTATTATGAGTGTAAATTGCTAGTTGTTCAGCATCAATTCCATGGCAAACTATCTTGGGAAATTGATGTAATTTCTTGGAATCATAAACCGTGGAATATTTCAATACATCAAAATCATCCCATATCTCAACCCAACAAAGCTGAACCATGTGATCGTGCCCGAAAACGTAACCTAATTATGACGTCTTATATGATTGTCTCAATGTCCAATTTACACATATTTTCGTGTGGAAGGTAAAACTTCAGCAACTGCTCGGGACCTGGCATTGTTCATGGCAGGAAGATACTCCCATGTAGAACCTCCCATTGTAAAACACTCCACTGAACTGAGATAGTTACCTTTCTCATTCTCACCTCCCATCACTACAATGGTATTTCCAGTAATAACTGCACAAAATGCACATCTCTTCTCCAACATGGATGGTAAGGCTGTGGTCTTGCCTGTCTTGGAGTCGTACATGAAAACATCATTCAGAGCTTGGTTATCCTTATCACGACCTCCAAGCACAACTACTTCATCCCTCCAGCAAACTGTCGCCATTCTCTTCAAGGTAAACGGTAATTTTGGCATCTCTTTACATTCAATCCTTTTTGGATCAAACTCCAATACACTGTCCGTAGTCTTATTACCAAAGCAAAATCCTCCTAAAATCAGTACCTTATCTTCAAATACTTCAGCGCCATGACAGCCTCGTGGTTGAGGCATTTGGCACAACTCTTTCATAATGCAAGGTGAAGTAAGTTGCAATTCACTAATCAGGTTAGACCATCCTTTGCCATGATTATGTCCACCAATGTGAATGACACTCTGCTGGTAAACAACAGTTTGATGATCATCACATGCATAAGGCGGTTCCCAAAAAAATTTCGTCCATTTCAAAGGTAATTCATCGAGATTCAAGGTCTCTATTACCTTACTATGTCCCCCGACAACAAAGAACTGATCTTTATAGATAAATGATGAACCTTCGTAATGATAGATGTTCATTGGCGACACCTCAAACCAACCATTTTTCTCCCAGGAATATATTTCCGTACTTTCGCCAGATCTACTGAAAAACCCTCCATATCCACCTGCAATCAAAATATCCTCTCTTGGTGTGTTCAACATTCCCTCAGTCGGAGATGGCAATTTGTTCAGCAGTTCAAGCATATTTAATTTCTCCAACATTTGAATCATCATGACTTTGACTTCGTCCACGTCTTTGTTCACTTTGGAAAGATTGTCCTTCATATCTTTCACTTCTTTCTTAACTTCCCCGATTTCCTTCTTCGTTTGCCGACTTGCTGCTTCCACTTTCTCGTTTATTTGCTTCACTGCTGCTTCCACTTTTTCGTTCGTTTCCTTCACTGATGCTTCCACTTTTTCGTCCAATTTCTTTATTCCCTTAACTGCTGTTTCCACTTTCCCATCCAGTTCCATTAAACTTCCTTTCAATGTTCCCACATCTTCCTGTATCTGTCCACAGTCATGACATTTCACTTTTCTATAATCACAAACTTCAGTCTCATGATGAACCTTATCTTGCTTGTTAATCTCCATACCACACTCTGCATTTGAACACAACACAGGTGCATAGCCACAATTCACCACGTGAGTTTTGAGATCTTCAAGACAGGTAAACTCAGGGCATCCCCGACTGGCATGATCACAATTTATCTTTAGTTTAGACAAATAATTGCTCAACACACGCGGCCGACGAAGCGTATCGACGTTCAAATGCTCATTACATTCAGGACAAGTTTGAGAGTTCACCTTTAGATGTTGAGTGATGCAGGCAAGACAAAAGATGTGATCATTATTCCTACACGTCCTTGGTTCTTTAAGAACATTGTAGCAGATAGAACAATGAAAATTTTCGTCGACATCTTTCTCAAATCGACAGTCTTCGTAGCCATATTTCTCTTCGGTCGGGCAGCAAGCCATGCTTCATAGCTCATAGAAACATTGCGTCATTTTCTAGTTAAAGATTCGATACCAATGATCTTTCTTCGACACATTTATCTCACATTGTAAAGCAAATAAATCGAGAACAAGAAACAGACGAGGTTTTTAAAC